GCCACCTCCGCCTCCCGGGTTCAAGCAATCTTCCCATCTCAGCCTCCCGAGTAGCTAGGATTACAGGTGTGCACCATCACGCCCAGCTAATTTTTGTATTTTCAGTCGAGACAGGGTTTGTTGGCCAGGCTGGTCTCAAACTCCTGACCTCAGGTGATCCACCCGCCTGGGCCTCCCAAAGTGTTGGGATTACAGGGGTTGAGCCACTGTGCCCGGGCAGCTGGAAGTTTTGATCCAGACCTTGAACCAAAGATTTTTTAATTTCATTGACTAGAGTGACCATATATTTGGAGACAGTCTCAGTTCAACACATGTCATCCCAGCATAATTCTTAGTAAAACCACCTTTTATTCCTCCAATGGGTTCAGTGTGAACAATAAAGGTGGATGCTTTTTTTTTTTTTTAATTAACTAAGGAAACCCTTCTTATGTTCATTCAACATTTATTCACCTAAGAGACAATGTTTACCCTACACTTCATCCTCTTCTGGCCTTGGGGTCAACCCACAAACTTGTCTGGGGAGAAGGATGAATCAGTGCTAAGAATGTGCTGCCGACATAATTGAGATCATGGTCAGAGGATCAATGGAAAAAAACAAGAGCTACAACAGACAGTTCTGACATGCCCGTGTGAGGTGGAATTTAAATGATTTTGAGACATTTGTTATTGTTTTGTTTTGGCCTCCAAAACAACCGCATAAGGAAAAAATAAACAGAAATCCTGTGAGTGTTTGAATCTTTCTGTGTTTATTCTTTTTACCTGTGGACAAACACAAATATTTTATACATGTTCATGGGAAAGCATCTTGTTTTCCAGACCGGACACTAAGACCCAGCGCTGAGGACAAAAGTAAGCAGGCTCTGCATATTCTAAGTGTTGCAAACTAGGGTCCATCCTCTGGGCCAGCCTTCTCCTCTAGGGGCTTACGCAGTGTGTTGGGTAAATGTGGCATTTAAAGAGAGAGCACTTTGGGAGGCCACGGCGGGTGGATCACTTGAGCCCAGGAGTTCGAGACCAGTCTGGGCAACATGGTGAAACCCTGCTTCTACAAAAAATTAGCTAGACTAATTTTAGTATTCACCCAGCAGGCTGAAGTGGTGGTTCCCAAAGTGTAGTCTGCAGGCTCCCTAAGGGTGCTCAAGACCCTTTTAGGAGGTTCCGAATTTTTCGTAATAATACTAAGCCTTTCCCATTCCCATTCACTCACCAGTGTATCTTGGAGTTTTCCAGAGGCTGTACAATGAGTGATGTAATCATGGGTCTGACGTCTAATAGAATGTCTGCTGCTTTTGCTTTTCTTTTTTTTTTTTTTTTTTTTTTTTTTTTTGAGACATAGTCTTGCTCTGTTGGCCAGGCTGTGTGGTGGAGTGCAGTGGCACAATCATGGCTCACTGCAACCTCTAACTCCTGGGCTCAAGCAATCCTCCCACCTCAGCCTCGCAAGTAGCTGGCACTACAGGTGTGTGCCATCAATCACACCCAGCTAACTTTCGTATTTTTGTAGAGACAGGGTTTTACCATGTTGCCCAGACTGATCTCAAATTCCTGGGTTCAAGGGGTCCACTCACCCTCAGTCACCCAAAGTGCTGGGATTACAGGTGTGAGCCATTGCACTTGGCATGCTTCAGTATTGTTGGGTTTTAAATATTTCTGTTTCCATCAGTGGTTGCCAGGGGTTGAAGGTGGGTGGAGGGGGGTGAGTACAAAGGGCCAGGGGGTCACTTGTGGGCAATGGTGGTTCCATATCTTGATTCACCTGAGGTCAGGAGATCGAGACCAGCCTGGCCAACATGGTGAAACCCTGTCTCTACTAAAAATACAAAAATTAGCCAGGTGTGGTGGCACGTGCCTGTAGTCCCAGCTACTCACTAGTCTAAGGCAGGAGAATCGCTTGAACCTGGGAGGTGGAGGTTATAGTGAGCCAAGATCGCCCCACTGCACTCCAGCCTGGACGACAGAATAAGACTCTGTCTCGAAAGACAAAAAAAAAAAAAGAAAGAAAGAAAAAGAAAAACCTGATGTAAAACAGTTTATTCTTTAAGTGCAGGGGTGTGTAATGTAATCCTTGCTTGGCATGACCTTAGATACTGTTCATAATTTGGTATCTTATTGCCACAAAGAGTCCATTCTGTCTGTCTTATGATCACTGTTTTAACATTAATGCTGGTCAGTTGTTGTGTCTAAACTTCTAACGGAAGTGGGTATATGGAGGCATGTCTGACCTCCCATCTCATCATGGCCGGGAACTCACTGTTTAAGGTTTCTTGAAGTTCCCCTTGGCCAAGAGGGGGCCCATTCAGTCAGCTGGGGGGGCTTAGGATTTTTAATTTACATTGTGCTCACTGGAGTAGCACTTTTAATTTCCTTCAAGAAATTTTCCTTTGAATTCACAACTTGGCTAAATGTTTGGTGCAAGAAAGCTTGCTTTCAGCCTATCCTGACTTTTGGCACGCCTTCCTCACTAGGCTTAATCATTTCTAGCTTTTGATTTAAAGTGAGAGATGTGTGACTCTTCCTATCCCTTGAACATGTAGAGGCCATCGTGGGGTTATTAACTGACTGAAATTCAATATTGTTGTGTTTTACGGACTAGGGAGACCTGAGAAGAGGGAGAGAGAGGGGGGAACAGCCAGTTAGTGGAGCACTTGGAATGCACACAATACTGATTAAGTTGGCTGTCTTATATGAATGCTGTTTGTGGCACCCAAAAACAATTACAATAGTAACATTAAGGATCACTAATCACAGATCACCTTAATAGGTATAATAATAATGAAGAAAAACTTTGGGGTCAGGTGCGGTGGCTCATGCCTGTAATCCCAGCACTTTGAGAGGCCAAGGCAAGCATATCTCCTGAGGGCAGGAGTTCGAAACCAGCCTGGCCAACACAGTGAAAACCCCCATCTCTACTAAAAATGCTAAAATTAGCCAGGCATGGTGGCGCGTGCCTGTAATTCCAGCTATTTGGGTGGCTGAGGCACGAAAATCGCTTGAACCCCGGGAGGCGGAGGTTGCAGTGAGCCAAGATTGCACCACTGCACTCCAGCCTGCATGACAGAGTAAGGCACTATTGCAAAAAAGAAAAGAAAAAAAAAAAGGTTGAAATATTGCAAGAATTACCAGGATGTGGTATAGAGACACGAAGTGAGAACATGCTGTTGAAAATGGACCCAATAGATTTGCTGTAGTGAGGTTGCCGCATACCTTGAACTTGTAAAAATGCAGTATCTGTGAAGCACAATAAAGTGAAGTGCAATAAAGCAAGATACGCTGGGCCGGGCAAGGTGGCTCACACCTGTAATCCCAGCACTTTGGGAGGCTGAGGTGGGTGGATCACAAGGTCAGGAGTTCAAGACCAGCCTAGCCATTATGATGAAATCTCTTCTCTACTAAAAACACAAAAATTAGCCAGGCAAGGTGGCGGGCGCCTATAGTCCCAGCTACTTGGGAGGCTGAAGCAGGAGAATCACTTGAACCCAGGAGGCGGAGCTTGCAGTGAGCCGAGATCGTGCCACTGCACTCCAGCCTGGGTGACAGAGCGAGACTCCGTCTCAAAAAAAAAAAAAAAAAAAAAAAGAAAAATCAGATATGCCTATATACCTGAATTTTAAGGAAACAAAAATTCTCAATTTTAATTTCTAACAGGGTACAGTTAGATATAAACAAAATCCCTCAATCCTTTTTAAGCATACAAAGAGATCCTGAGAACAAAAACTTTGAGAACCACTGATCTAACGCATTGATTTCTTTTGTTTTGTTTCTGTAGTTGGGGCTACGGGTATGCAACACCACCCCCAGCATGAGTGCAATTACTCAGTCTGGGGTTGGAGAAAGCAATTGAAAGGGAGGGGAAAATCTCACTGGCCCTAATGCTTTATAAACTGTGCTGTCTAATACGGTAGCTGCTGGTCACTTGTGGCTATTTAGCACATGAAAAGTGGGTGCTCCAAATTGAGAGGTACTTAGTACCAAAAAAAAAAAACCAAAAAATAATGGGCCGGGCACGGTAGCTCACGCCTGTAATCCCAGCACTTTGGGAGGCCAAGGCGGGTGGATCACAAGGTCAGGAGCAGCCTGACCAACATGGTGAAACCCGTATCTACTAAAAATACAAAAAAATTAGCCGGGCGTGGTGGTGTGCACCTGTAATCCCAGCTACTCAGGAGGCTGAGGCAGAAGAATCGCTTGAACCTGGGAGGCAAGATTGTGCCATTGCACTGCAGCCTGGGCAACAGAGCGAGACTCTGTCTCAAAAAAAAAAAAAAAAAAAAAAAGTAAATTATCTCATCAATAATTTTCACATAGAAATGACAACATTTTTTGTTTTTCTTTTCTTTGTTTTTGGTAGCCATGGATTCTTGCTATGTTGCCCAGGTGGTCTTGGACTCTGGGCCTGAAGCCATCCTCTCACCTGGCCTCCCAAAGTGTTGGGATTATAGGCATAAGCCACTGCACCTGCCCCAATATTTTGAACATATTGGGTCAAGGAAAATATATGGTTAAAATTAAGTTTACTTCTTGCTTTTTTTTTTTTTTTTTTTGAGATGGAATCTCACTCTGTCACCCAGACTGGAGTGTAGTGGGATGATCTTGGCTCAGTGCAACCTCCACCTCCAGGGTTCAAGCAATTCTCCTGCCTCAGCCTCCTGAGTAGCTGGAATTACAGGCACCTGCCACCACGCCCGGTTAGTTTTTGTATTTTTAGTAGAGACGGGGTTTCACCACTTTGGCCGAGCTGGTCTCGAACTCCTGACCTCAGGTGATCCACCAGCCTCATTCTCCCAAAGTGTTGGGATTACAGGCGTGGGCCACGGCGTCTGGCCTACCTCTTGCTTTTTACTTTAATGCGGCTACTAGAAAATGTAAAATTACCTATGTGGCTCCTGTATATTTCTGTTGGAGAGTGCTATTCTGGGGATACACAGACTGAACTGCCAATCTCTGTTTCACCACTTACAAGTTGTGTCAAAAAACTTACTATTTCTTCGAATTTCTTGGGTTCCCTGGGATGTAAAATGTGGGTAATGTTAGAGTTGGTGTGAATATTAAACGTAAATAATGTATGTGACATACTTAGCTTTATACCTGGCACCTAAATAAACAATAAGTTTGTTAGCTATTATTATTAAAGACGTTGATTTCTCTACTGATATCGTCAGAGATGGGCCTCATGCTCATTAAAGTTCCTTCCTCTGCGACCTATTTCCACTCTGGCCACAATAATAACTAATTATAGCAAAGGCCTGACCCGACTTTCGGCCGTTGGCCTCCTTCTCCACACCGAAAAATTCAAATCATGACCCATGGTCCATCCTAGAAGTGTGCCATCTGTATTTATGAATGGAGCCTAAGCAAATCTGAAAACCAAGCACCCCAGGCAGCTGAGCCTCGCTTAGCAACCGACGCTGGGGCCTGTTGCTAAGGGAAAAGAAAGAAAGGACGTGGTCCGTCAGCTATTGCTCTCCGGAGGCAGCTACTTCCGGTCCCCCGGACCCTGTCCTGAGGTCTACCTTCCCCCGAGGTACTGGGCCTGCGGCCGTAGGTTCCGCTGTCTCGGGAACCTTAGTAGCCCTCGTTCAGGCGGCGGCGGGGGCGGCAGTAGCGGCGGAGGTGGCTTCAGGCCTCCGGTGCGGCTGCAATGCTGAGCTCACGGGCCGAGGCGGCGATGACCGCGGCCGACAGGGCCATCCAGCGCTTCCTGAGGACCGGGGCGGCCGTCAGGTGAGATTTTGGGGGGCGGGGCGGCCGAAGAGGCCGGGACAGGGTCCCCAGCTTGGGCCCGTGACGGCTTTTTCATGCCCTAGTTGGGGTCTCCAGGGCCCGCGCGGGCATTCCGGGAGCTTCTGCGTCCTTTAGGGTTGGAGGCCTGGGCCTGTAGGTGGGAGGACTGACGGGCTCCAGTCCTTCGGCAACACCAGTTCTGTCTGCACTCCCCGGGTCCGTCTGTCCCTCCCCCTCCTGTCATTGTTCCCAGGACACCCAGGGCCCTCCAGTCTTGTCAGGGCCCCTAATTCTGTCAGTGCCCTCCGTTCTTTCAATGCCTCCTAGGCCTGCCAAGACCCCTCAATCCTTCTAGTATACCCCCAATCCTTCTGGGTCCCCCAATCATATCTGCCAGGGGTTCCCCAATCTTGGCGTGGTTCTTCCAGTCCTGTAAGTGCCCCGGGCCTGCAAGCCCCGCGTTTTGTTAGTACCGCCCGCTATTCCTGTTAGCCCGCCCTCTAGTCTAATATGGATCCCCACTTCTGTCTGAGTCGCTGATGTTATTAGTGTGAGTAAAGGCCCTTGTTTTGCAAGGGTCTCTAAATTGGTCAGGGCCTCTTTAACCTGTTAAGGCTGCTTGTTCCTGTTAAAGCCTTCCGTTCTTGTTAGGACTCCTCGATTGCCTGGGTTCCCAATCCTGTCAGGGCCCCCATTTCCTTATTCACCCTCCCAAGGGCTCCAGGCTTCAGAACTGAGTACCCCCTCCCCCACTGCTGACCCCAAATGACTGAGACCTGTTGCTCAGGTCGGCTTCCTCTGGAACTGGAGCAGGTTTAAAGAGCTTATTATCCCAGGGCTAAAAGTCCTCGGTACCTATCCTGTCCAGTGCCCCCATTCCGTAGGTGGGAAGTGTGACCCCATAGCTGACCTCATAGCAGAGTTGGGAGGAGAAGCCAGATCTTTTCACCCCCAGGCCCCACCACTCTTCTCGTGATGTCATTTTGCAGAGGAATGGAGTTTCCAAAGTCGCCAGTTGTCCCTGGGTATTTTTTCCTTATGCTGCTAAAGTCATGGACAAGTCCTCTCTCCCATCCCCTTGACACTGTTTCCTTCAGTTTCCGTCTTGAACTTTGTGGTTTTAAGCACAGACTTGGGAGACAGACACGCATGATTCAGAGCCATGTTCGTTCACTCACTGTGACCAAGTCGGTCTCTTAGTTTCCTCAGTTATAAAAATGAAAGTGATGGTATAATCTGCTTCTGTGGGATTGTTTAAAAAATGAGGTAAGACTGTCACAGTGCCTGGCATAGAGTATGCACCCTTAAATATTAGTGTTTGACTGGGGGATTTTAAGCACTTTAGCACTTCCATGACAGTCCTTTGTAACCTTTCCAAGCACTTTTGTGAACTCATGTATTGTGTAAAAGCACAGTGATGCATTAGGAAACTTCAAGAATAGCTTTCACCGGCTGGGCATGGTGGCTTACACCTGTAATCCCAGCACTTTGGGAGGCTGAGGCAGGCAGATTGCTTGAGCTCAGGAGTTTGAGACCAGCCTGGGCAACATAGTGAGAGCCTGTCTTTACAAAAAAATTTTAAAATTACCTGGGTGTGTGGTGTGCACCTGTGGTCCTAGCTACTCGGGAGGTTGAGGCAGGAGGATCGCCTGAGCCCGGAAGGTGGAGATTGTGTTGAGCCGAGATGGCACCACTGCACTGCAGCCTGGGCACTAGAGCAAGATACTGTGTCAAAAAAAAAAAAAAAGAACGAACAGAAGAGAGGGAATAGCTGTCATGAATGAACCTGAGATTGTAATGCTTAATTTGTAGCAGCTAACATTTATTAAGTTCTTACTATGTACTCTATACTTTCACACTTATTTAATCCTCACCACAACCCTATGAGGTAGGTCTTATGAATTGTCCCCATCGTACAGATGAGGAAACTGAGGCTTAGAAGGTGAAATGATGCCAAATGAAGTAGCAAAGCCAGGACTGAACCAGAATAATGTAATCCCACTTTCTTAACCAAGTTTGGTGCATATTCTGTTGGCTATGTCTTGGAAAACAAATATTTATCTGAAATTCAGCTATCAGCTGTGATACTAAGAAATGCTGATTATTGTAAAGCAGAGTCACTATTATCACCAGTGACTCTTCACCAAGTTAATGTTTACTGAACTGAAATCAAAGCAATATTCACCTGATCCAAATATTGGGATAATAATGTATTACACACACACGCACATACAAACACGTATATATACATGTGTAACACATATGCAGGTACACATTACATAGCTATATACACATAGATGGTTTGTCTTATTTTGTAGAAATATATAACTTTGTATAAAAACAATGTTTTAAATTTCTGGTGAAATTTCTTAATTTGTAGCAAAAGCATAACCAGTGTTTAAGTCAAGTCTATAGTTAGGAAATCTTTAATTTTATAAACATTCAGCTCTTTTATACCATTGTATGTGTGCCCCTTTCCTGTCTAATATTCTAAAAGAGAAATTCATTTCTGTATATTTTCTCCAGTATTCAGTCATTCAATAAATATATATATATATATATATATATATTTTTTTTTTTTTTTTTTTTTTTTGAGACTGAGTGTTGCTCTTATGCCCAGGCTGGAGTGCAATGGCACGATCTCAGCTCACTGCAACCTCTGCCTCCCAGATTCAAGTGATTCTCCTGCCTCAGCCTCCTGAGTAGCTGGGACTACAGGTGCACATCACCATGGCCAGCTAATTTTTGTGTTTTTAGTAGAGACAGGGTTTCACCATGTTGCCCAGGCTGGTGTCAAACTCTGGGGCTCAAGGGATCCTCCTGCCTTGACTTCCCAAAGTGCTGGGATTACAGGGATGAGCCAGTGTGCCCGGCTGACTTAGATTTTAAATCCTAATGTCTAAACATCCTGATTTTTAAGATGTAATCCTATAACTATATATTACTTTAACTTGAAATTAGGTATTTGGTGGGTTATTTTGACAAAATGTTATTCTGTCTCTATCTGTATATTCGCCTATTGTGTTTGTGATGAGGGAAGACAGTAAACTTGTTTTCTTTTTTAGATATAAAGTCATGAAGAACTGGGGAGTTATAGGTGGAATTGCTGCTGCTCTTGCAGCAGGAATATATGTTATTTGGGGTCCCATTACAGAAAGAAAGAAGCGTAGAAAAGGTAAGAATGAGAACACTGCATTATGGTCTGTAGACTTGACCCAGATCCCTGTTATCTGAAAACAGTACAAAGAAGGTTGGGAGGTTGGTCGTGTTTGTTCTCTGTATCTTTAAAATTAGGACTTCAGGTTTTGAAACAGTACTTTTACCATTAGTTGTTATTTGATACCCTGTAGTAAAAAGATTTCTATTTCAGCCCCTCTCCAGACTGGAGTTTGAGGCATGCTTTGTAATGAAAAATGTCAAGCGGCGTAATTGTCTAAGAAGTGTTCTCATTAATATGGCAATTACAGTTTTCAGTGGTACAAACTGACCAATTACATCATACATTTGTGTTCTCTCAGACTAGCTTGCTAATAACTGGTAAAAATTTCAAGTTAGTGCCTTCGTTACTAAAAAACTATTTTCTTATTTTTTTAAATGCTCCCTTTTGAAAGTGTTGCACTATGTAACATTGATTAAAATTCATCAAAGAAAGAAAAGAATGTGGTGAAATTTGATCATTGTTAAATCCGGGGACAGTTATAATTGAGGTTTATTATACATTCTCCCTCCTTTTGTGTGTCTTTGAGAACTTTGAGAATAAGTAGTTTTTTAAAACGATTGCTAGCAGAAGAGAGAAGTATATTCGATTTTGTTGATCTCTGCAGAAAGACTGATCAGAATTGGTATAGTGGAGTCTTTCCCAGTGATTGTTAAGATAAGAACAGAATCATTGTCCTGGGGAAGTAACAACAGAACAATTGTTTTCTTCTGCTCTCAGAAACATTGCTTTCTGGTTAAAGAAGAAAGAGAGCATGTAGGGGAGAATGAGGAAGAGAAAAAGACAGGAGATGGTTACTAAGTGTTTTGTACATTTAGGAAGAACCAAGCTGTGCTGGATACCATGATAGGTTTCAAAAATAACACACAAAGGGGACCTTTCCTTCTGTGCTTACAGTCTGCGGAGCAGTACTAGAACCAAGCCTTGGCCCAGATCTCTGTGGATAAGGATCTTCTTGGATCGGAATTCCAAATTTAAGGCCACAGCGCAGGAACTCTGGGTCCCAAATGGGAGAGAAATGGATCAAATATGATATGCTGTTCTCTTCTTCCCCCTGCTTTTTTTTAGGGCTCGTGCCTGGCCTTGTTAATTTAGGGAACACCTGCTTCATGAACTCCCTGCTTCAAGGCCTGTCTGCCTGTCCTGCTTTCATCAGGTGGCTGGAAGAGTTCACCTCCCAGTACACCAGGGATCAGAAGGAGCCCCCCTCACACCAGTATTTATCCTTAACACTGTTGCACCTTCTGAAAGGTATCTAGATGGGAATTTCAAGGGGATTATATACCTTTTCAAAGAAGTCCAGATGACAGGCAAAGAGTTAATAGCCTTATTGTAGGAAAAAATCATATAGATCATTATGAATAAAAAACACCAAGAGCCCAGTAGATACAAACAGGTATTTTTTAAAAATCAAAGATGGAGGCTGAGTGCAGTGGTTCATGCCTGTAATCCCAGCAATTTGGGAGGCCAAGGCAGGTGGATCACGAGGTCAGGAGTTCGAGACCAGCCTGACCAACATGGAGAAACCCCGTCTCTACTAAAAACACAAAAATTATCCGGGCGTGGTGGTGCGTGCCTGTAATCCCAGCTACTCAGGAGGCTGAGGCAGAAGAATCACTTGAACCCAGGAGGTGGAGGTTACAGTGAGCCGAGATCACACCATTGCACTCCAGCCTGAGCAACAAGAGTGAAACTCCATATCAAAAAAAAAAAAAAGATAGAACCATAAATTGTCAAGTTAATAACAGCATTTTAAGGAAGGAAAGAAATTCACTGCCACATAAGAAGTATTATAAGAAGTATTCTGGTTTCAAAAACATTAAAAAAAAAAAAAAGTCCATTAGCCTAGGTTATTCACAAAAGAAGTAATACAAATTGCTAAAAAACTCAAATGTTCAACTTGACCATTATCAAAGAAGTATAAATAAAATAAAAATGCTACTTTTTGCCTATCAGCAAAGATTAAAAAACAAATTTGCAGCCCTGTCCAGCTGTTGGACAATACATCCATACACCGCTGAGAGGGGTGTAACTTAGTGCAACTTTTCTGGAAAGCAGTTTGGAACTACACAATAATAGCTTGCGAAGTATTCAGTACTATTTGACCCAGTAATTCTGTGTCTGGGAGTCCGCCTTATGAAAATGGCTAGAAACGTAGATTGTGACTTAATTAGCCTGAAAAATGGAGTCTAAAAGCAACCAAGTTTAGGAATGACTGAATGGTGGCCCCCAACTTGGAGAGTCACAATATACACTGGCTTGGTAAAGGTTTTAAGAAATAACCTACCCAACTTCTTTGTTTGTTTGTTTGTTTGTTTGAGACAGAGTCTCACCTTGTTGCCCAGCTTGTTGCAGTGGTACGATCTCAGCTCACTGCAACCTTCACCTCTCGCGTTCAAGCGATTCTCCTGCTTCAGCCTCCCTAGTAGCTGGGATTACAGCCGCATGCCACCACGTCCGGCTAATTTTTGTATTTTTAGTAGAGACAGGGTTTGCCATGTTATCCAGGCTGGTCCTGAACTCCTGACCTCAATTGATCTGCCTGCCTCAGCCCAAAGTGCTGGGATTACAGGCGTGAGCCACCGCACCCAGCCCAACTTCATTTTTAAACCAACTTTTTTGACGGTAGAACTGTTTTGTTTTCTTCATAAAATCTGCTGACGTTCCATGGGTATTATACAGAGCGCGATGTATGCACAGAGATCTCCAACATCTAATTATTATGGCAAAAAGGGGAAAGAATGTAGATAACAAACAGAATGATTAAGCAATCACTTAATGCCATACTACTCTGTACGTACCCGATCTCATCAGACCTCAGAAGCTAAGCAGGGTAGTGCTTGGCTAGCACTTAGATGGGAAAATGATTAAGTAATGGATGGCATACAGCCATTAAGAATCACTTTTATGAAATTTTTTTAAAAGTTGGGTGAGGGCATAGGCTGTAATGTTAAAGAGCAGCGTACAAAATACAATTTGACTTCATCAAGGTAGGAACTTCCACAGATGAAGGCTGGACTGAAAAATGCTGAAATATTAGCCATTTTGGTATTGTGCAGTCATTGGTAATTTTAAAATCGTTTTGGAAAACGACTTCTACTTTTAACAATAAGCATATATTGCTGTCACTGTAAGGAGAAAATTGGGTTTAAAACACATTCAGCTAAATCGTGCTTCACTGAGGTGTTTTCCTATGTGAGCTCTGCTTGACACAGAAATCTTTATGAAGCAAGTGTACCTTTCTGTAGAAGAGGCGACTTGAGAATAATTTCTTTTACTATCCTGTTTTTTTAGCCCATTCCTGGTTTAGAGAAAAAAAAAAAAAGTGCAACTCGCTGCCAGCGTTCATCTAATTTTACGTAAACATGCTCTTTGAGGCCAAAGCAAGTCTGACTGATTTTAAACGTGAAAATAGAAAAACTGTTCTTGGAGTTCTTTCTTTTCTTTTTTTTTTTTTTTATGTTTGAGACGGAGTCTCGCCTTGTCGCTCAGGCTGGAGTGCAGTGGTGGGATCTCGGCTCACTGCAACCTCCGCCTCCCAGGTTCAAGCAATTCTTCTGCCTCAGCCTCCCAAGTAACTGGGATTATAGGCACTCCCCACCATGCCCAGCTAGTTTTTGTATTTTTAGTAGAGACAGGGTTTTACCAGGCTGCTCTCAAACTCCTGACCTCAAGTGATGCACCTGCCTTGGCCTCCCAAAGTGTTTGGATTACAGGCATGAGCTAACATGCTTGGCCTTTTTAAATTTTTTTAAAAAATAGAGATGGGGTCTTGCTATGTTGACCAGGCTGGTCTCGAACTCCTGACCTCAAGTGATCCTCCCATCTTGGTCTCCCGAAGTGCTGGGATTACAGGGGTGAGCCAGCACACCCAGCCATGTTCTTGGGAGTTATTTCTAAATAGAGCTTGGCTCTAATCCTAATGTAACAGAAATGTATATGATGTTACATCATATACAACAGAAATGTATATGATGTTACATCATATACAACAGAAATGTATATGATGTTACATTAGGATTAGAGACAGGAATATTCTTGGGGCAAATAGGAAATGGGTTAAAAGCACCACTCCAAAGATTATGTGAAAGCTGAAATGTCCACGTGAATTATCCTAACCCTGGCCTGTCAGCACTGCCCTTATCGTTCACATGGGACCCAGTACTGGGAACCAGAGCCATCCTTGGGCTGCTGTCCCAGAATGTCTGCTCATTTCTCTGCTTCTGCTTTCCAATGTCTCTTACTTTGATTTTTTAGGAAAAAAAAATTTTTTTGAGACAGGGTTCTGTTCTGTCAACCCAGGCTGGAGTGCAGTGGCGCAACCTCCGCTCACTGCAGCCTCTGCCTCCCAGGCCCAAAACAATCCTCCCACCTCCATTTCCTAAGTAGCTGGGACTGCAGGCACATGCCACCATTCCTGGCTAATTTTTTTATTTTTAGTAGAGACAGGGTTTTGACTTGTTGCCCAGGCTGGTCTCGAACTCCTAAACTCAAGCAGTCTGCCCACCTTGGCCTCCCAGAGTGCTGGGATTGCAGGCATGAACCACCATGCCTGGCCTATAAATAATTTTTTAATTATACAAGTAATGCATGAATCAGTTCTCTTTGTAAAAAATTAAAGCATTACAGAGAAGGCCAGAGTCCCCTTTATCAATACTCCAACCCTGCTCCCCTCTACCTTTCCCAAAAGGAAACTATAGGTGGATCCTTCCAGACCTTTTTCTGTGCATTTAAATACATTTCTGTGCATCCATAGAAATGATATATTGTGGGGTTTTTTGGTGTTTGATTTTTTGTTTATTTGGAGACAGGGTCTCACCCAAGCTGAAGTGCAATGGTACAGTCTCAGCTCACCGCACTTCAGCCTCCTGGGCTCAAGCTATCCTCCCACCCCAGCTTCCCGAGTAGCTGGGACTACAGGTGCGTGCTGCCACACTCGGCTAATTTTTGTATTTTTAGTAGAGACGGGGTTTCATCATGTTGCCTAGGCTGGTCTTGAACTCCTGGGCTCAGGTGATCCGCCCGCCTCAGCCTCCCAAAGTGCTGGGATTGCAGGCATGAGCCACCGCACCTGGCTTGTATATTGTTTTGTTTTGTTTGTGATTTACATGGCCAAATATAATAAGCATTAGAGAAGTGTCCATTTTAGTACATGTAGTTCTACCTCCTTCACTTTTTTTTTTTGAGTGTATTGGTCTTATAGTTTGTCTTCTGTGAATTGCTCGTTTATATCCTTTGCCTACTTTTTAAAATTGTGGCAAAATATCCCTAACATAAAATTTACCATTTTCAGCGTATAGTTCACTAGATTAAGTACAGCCACATTGTTGTGCAGCAGTCACCCCCATCCCTCTCTAGAACTCTTCATCATCCCGTACTGAAACTATACCCATGAAACAGTAACTCCCATTCTCCCCTACCCCTAGCCCTTGGTAACCACTGCCCTACTTTCTCTTTCTTTAAATTTGACTCAGACCTCATTAAGTCATGAGTTTCCTCATATTTATAAGATGTACCTCATTAAGTGGACTCATATAATATTCACCCTTTTGTAACTGGCTTATTTCACTTAATATCTTCAGGGTTCATCCATGTTATACCGCATATCAGAATTTCATTCCTTTTTAAGGCTGAAAATATTCTTTTTTTTCTTTTAAGGCAAAGTCTCATTCTGTCACCCAGGCTGGAGGGCAGTGGTGCCATCTTAGCTCACTGCCACTTCCACCTCCCAGATTCAAGTGATTCTCCTGCTTCAGCCTCCCAAATAGCTGGGATTACAGGCGTGCACCACCACACCTGGCTAATTTTTTGTATTTTTAGTAGAGACGGGGTTTTACCACGTTGGCCAGGCTGATCTCGAACTCCTGACCTCAAGTGACCTGCCCACCTCGGCCTCCCAAAGTTCTGGGATTACAGGCATGAGCCACTACACCTGGCCTAGGCTGAATAATATTCTGTTGCATGTATATGCAGCATTTTGTTTGTCCCTCTGTCAGTCCGTGGACATTTGGCTTATTTTCATTCTTTGGCTATCATGAATAATGTTGCTGTGAACATTAGTGTCCAAATGCCCTGCTTTCAATTATTCTGTCAACACTCAGAAGTAGAATTGCTGGATCAAATGGTAATTCTGTTTAATTTTTTGAGGAGCCTCTATGCTGTTTTCCACAGATGATGCATGATTTTAGAATTTTACCTGCAATGTGCAAAAGTTCCAATTTCTCCTCACCAACACATGCTATTTTCTATTTTCATTGATAGTAGCCATCCTAACGGTATGGTATCGTTTTAATTTGCATTTCCCTAATAATAAGTTACATTGAGCATCTTTTCATTTGCTTATTGGCCATTTTGTCTGTCTTTTTTGGAGAAATGTCAGTTCAAGTTCTTTGCCCATTTTTGAACTGGATTGTTTGGGTTTTTTTTTTTTTTTTTTTGAGAAGTCGCTCTGTTGCCAGGCTGAATTGCAGTGGCGTGATCTCAGCTCACTGCAACCTCTGCCTCCCAGGTTCCAAGCGATTCTCCTGCCTCAGCCTCCCAAATAGCTGGGACTACAGGTACACACCACCACGCCCAGCTAATTTTTGTATTTTTAGTAGAGACGGGGTTTTACCATGTTGGCCAGGATGGTCTCAATCTCTTGACCTCGTGATCTGCCCACATCAGGCTCCCAAAGTGCTGGGATTACAGGTGTGAGCCGCCATGCCTGGCCTTGTTTGTTTTGTTGTTGTTGTTGTTGAGTTTTAGAAGTTCTGAGTTTATATATTCTGGGTATTAATGCCTTATCAGATGTGATTTGCAAACCTTGGTCATTTTTTTCTTTTCCTTCTTTGGTACAGAGTCTTGTTCTGTTGCCCAGACTGAAGTGCGGTGGTGCAATCTCAGCTCACTGCAACCTCTGCCTCCAGGGTTCAAGTGATCCTCCTGCCTCAGCCTCCCGAGTATTTGGGGCTACGGGTGTGCACCCATCATCCCTGGCTAATTTTTGGGTGTTTTTTGTTGTTGTTTTTAATAGAGTTGACGGTTCACCATGTTGGCCAGGCTGGTCTTGAACTGAACTGAAGTGATTAACCGCCTCGGCCTCCCAAAGTGCTGGGATTACAGGCTCCACTGTGCCTGGCCTCATTCACTTTTATAGCTGCATAGTTTCCATAATGTCAACACACCCCAGTTGGTTTGGCCATTTGTCTCCAGCTCCTTGTCATGATAAGCAGGCTATCATGTGAGCATCCTTATACATGTCCCTTTGTGAACCTGTGCATGCATTTCTGTAGGGAAAAAAATTGCTGGATTGAAAAAGTAAAATTGCTGGGTTGTACGATATGAAAATGTTAGTAGATACTGCCAAATTGCCCTGTAGTATTTTAGACAAAACTGGGTTAAAAGAGGCATTAAAATTTTCCTTTGGGAGGTGGTGGGGTGGGGGAGCTAACAGAAGGGCTGCCCAAGGGGTGTGGGAGAAAGGTGTGGTTCCTTTCCCAACCCTGCTCTCTTTGTCCTGGGAGGGAAAGGGCTAGCCCCAGGGTATATACACACTGATGCAGAAGCCTGGGCTTTATTATTATTATTATTATTTTAAGTGAAAGCAAGTTTATTAAGAAAGTAAAGGAATGAAAGAATGGCTACTCCATAGGCAGAGCAGCCCAGAAGTCTGGGCTTTAAAGGAATCTTTCAAGGCCGTTGACGGCAAATCAGAAAGAAGAAACAGGCTGACCTACTGTATGTTGGGAGTCACTGAACTTCCAGTAACTGCACTGAAAGGCTGGCTTCTACATTTTTTTCTCTCACACTCCAGCAGTACTGGTCCAGTGTAACATGCGATGGGAAGGAGGGTGGCCAAGATCAGGAGTCTGCACCTGATGGACCATGGGCCAAATCCAGCCCGCCACCTGTTTTTGTCAATAAAGTTTTATTGGAACACAGTCATGTCCATTTGTTTAGATATTGCCTATGTCAACCTAAAATAATCAAAGGGTTCGAGATCCAGCTACAAGGGTTTATTCAAACACAAAGTGTGAAGGTGGCTGTCTGGGGACACACAAATAACAGGAAATGGTGATCAGTGCTCCCAGTGTGGGGAAAAGCGGGGATCATTTATGTAGACAAAAACGGAAGTACTGAACAGAATTATAACATTTTCCATACAATGGCTAACATACAGATGTAAGATTTGATTGGCTACTATGGATTACACTCTTAGGGCGTTGCCTACCATTCCGTTGTAAAGAGGTAATAATCACAAGGGTCTCTATCTCCAGTGCCATTCAGCCTAGGTTTCAGGGAAGAACAGGGAGTCTGGTTAATTTGTAACATCTCAACACAAAGGTCAGGAAGCAGCCGCCATGCGCCAGAGAAGAAAAGCAGCTGTGTTACTTGACTGTTTCCAGCACTCTTCCCCTTGGCATAATACATTTAGAAGGTCCTGAAATATTTTCTTTTTACATCTATGACTGCTTTTGTGCTGCAATGGCAGAGTTGAGTAGTTGCAACAGAGACTATGTGGTCCACAAAACCTAAAATGTGGCCAGGCACAGGAACTCACACCTGTAATCCCAGCACGTTGCGAGGCCAAGGTGGGCAGATCACTTCACCCCAGAAATTCAAGACCAGCCTAGGCAACATGGTGAAACTCTGTCAGTACAAAAAATACAAAAATGAGCTGAGCACGAAGGCATGTGCCTGTAGTCCCAGCTGTTCAGAAGGCTGAGTTGGGAGGATTGCTTGGGCCCAGGAGGTCAAGGCTGCAGTGAGCCGAGATCACACCACTGCACCCTAGCCTGACAGAATAAGACCCTGTCTCAAAAAAAAAAAAAAAAAAAAAAAAAAAAAAAAAAAAAAAAAAAAAAAAGGCAAGCCTAAGATGTTTATTTTCTGACCTTTTACAGAAAAAGTGCCAATCCTTGGTCTAGAAGTAATTATAATATAAATTCATAAGCCCATCAAACTTCTATTTTATTAGGCCTGATTCCACCTGTGATTGAAAAGTAAACCACTCGGCCAGTGCCGTGGCTCACACCTGTAATCCCAGCACTTTGAGAGGCTGAGGTGGGCGATCATGAGGTTAGGAGTTCAAGACCAGCCTGGCCAACATGGTGGAACCCCATCTCTACTAAAAATACAAAAATTAGTTGGGTGTGGTAGCATGTGCCTGTAATCCCAGCTACTTGGGAGGCTGAGGCAGGAGAATCACTTGAACCCAGGAGGCGGAGGTTGCAGTGAGCTGAGATCACACTTGCACTCCAGCCTGGGCTACAGAGTGAGACTCTGTTTCAAAAAAAAGTAAAAGTAAACCACTCAAAAGACACTTTCAGGCTGCTGCATATAGCTTGATGCTTTGCCTTGAAAATCAGAAACTCAAATACAAAAAAAGGCCTTGGGAAACAGCCCTGTGAAGAGGAGTATGGCACCAAATATGGGGTTGGACTGGATGAATGTTGGTTGGGAACGGTCCTCCCAACCTGAGAGTTGTGAGTTAAAATCATTTTACTCAATAAGAACCTTGCAACAAATTTATATTGATGATAGTTTGAAGATAGAGGAATCAGTTACTTCATTTAAATGCTGCAGTCTCATGAAAAATTACATTCATTCAGTAAACTTAAGTGCCTAATAGAGTACTACGCATTGGGTAATGCTACAAAGAATGATGAAAAATACCTAATTCTAAGGTGAATCCTGCAGTCCTTAATTTTTTTTTCTTTTCTTTTTTTTTTTTTTTTTTTTTTTGAGACGGAGTCTCACTTTGTTGCCCAGGCTGGAGTGCAGTGGCACGATCTCTGCTCACTGCAACCTCTGCCTCCCGGCTTCATGCCATTCTCCTGCCTCAGCCTCCTGAGTAGGTGGGACTACAAGCTCCCGCCACCACGCCCAGCTAATTTTTTTTTTTTTTTAGTAGAGACGAGGTTTCACCATGTTAGCCAGGATGGTCTCGATCTCCTGACCTTGTGATCCGCCTGCCTTAGCCTCCCAAGGTGCTGGGAATACAGGCGTGAGCCACCGCGCCCGGCCTGCAGTCCTTAAATTTTTAATTAACTTTGATATGTTATACTGCGCAGGTTTTCTGGTTAGTTGTGATGCTGGTGAATTTAATGTCTTACCTATTTTGTTTCCAGCCTTGTCCTGCCAAGAAGTTACTGATGATGAGGTCTTAGATGCAAGCTGCTTATTGGATGTCTTAAGAATGTACAGATGGCAGATCTCATCATTTGAAGAACAGGTGAGTACAACATTTGAACACGTTTAGCTTGGAGAATCCTTTCCCCTAGTGACTTGGGGTCTGACCTTGCAATTGCCTGGCCCCAGTGTACATTTCTGTGACATTTTAGACAGCTTTAGTGTTCTGGGACCAGAGTACCAACTTTGTTCCTGCTGTCATGATCAGAGGGGAGATACAGCTGTTTTTCACCCAGTAGATAGAAGGTTAGGGGGATGGGACATAAACACACAGTTGCCAAAGAGCAAAATCTTTTTAGTTCTTAAGTGACTTGGCACTCCAGTAAGTGATAGGGACACTTGGGTTCTTTAGAAAGAGGCAGGTGACTTTATCTTGGAGACTCAGAGGTTTAGGTAAGATTTTTCTGGACCACACCCTCAATTTAAAAAAAAATCAATCTTCAAAGCTTGGCTTAAAGTGGCCCGAAACCTCAAGCAGATGTCATATGCAATTCCAAGGCCGAATGCAGTCACTCCCACCTCCCTTTTCCACAACTACAGCTTTGCTGCCTTCTTTGGAACTTGGCCACCCTCCTCCCCGCCAGACCACTGTTACCAACAGCAAGTCTGAAGCAGAGGCCAAGAGAGTGAAGCTCTAGGGATGAAAAAATCTAGCCCCCAGTGGCATACAGTTGCATCCTCCACAGCCACATTTCCAAGATGGCCTTGTCCAGCTTCATGTAGGTGTTGTCTGCCGCCACTGTCCAGAGAAATGGGAGGCGGCATCTTGGACCTCCCAAAACTGTGGGGCTGACATGAGGGGCATTGAGGGACTTTTGAAAAGGGAGGTGGGGAGTCTGTGTAGCGCCCCTTATTTTTAAAGGTGTTCTCTTGTTTTTGCTTTATTCTGAAGCCACAGGTCACTTTTTAGACATGGTGCTGGTAGTATCTATACTTTCTTAAAATGTATCTCAGTTAATCCAATTGTATGTTGCAATGTTTTTCTATTTAGAAAATACTTCTAAAATCCTCCTCTGGTAACTGGAATTATTTATCTACATTTTACATTTCCCTAAACTGAGAGAATGACTTTGAGATTTAGTCACCAAGAACATCAGATAACTTTTTAAAAGCCCGACTTCTCCATCAAGGACTCACTTAGGTCCCAGTCCCTCCTTGGAAGTATTTTCGACATCTTCAGCCCACATCTAGGGCCCACGCCATGCTGTAGTCTGCAAGAGAAAGAGGTGGGCGCGTCTGTCCAGTGGCCTTTTCCTGTTTGAAGGTACCCAGAGCATCTAGCATGGGCCTTGCCCACATCTGTATTATCAGCGATCCACTCAATCAGGAGCAGACTTTCCCTGATTATCAACCCATTTTCTTTGTCTAAAGCTAGAGCTTCAGAGGATGCATTGGGCCAAAGGCTTGCTTTATGCAAATTACCTGATTTTATTATCACAATAACCATGTAAGGAGTTTACTATTGTTCCCATTTTACAGATGGAAACACTGAGGCTCAGAGAAGTGGAATGATTTGCCCAGAATCATGCAGCTATTTAAGGGGCAGAGCCAATATTTAAGACAGTGTGGTGCTCCAGTGCACATTCAAGCTCCCCCTCCTCTGCAGTGCTGTCCCTTTCCTCAAGGCCGAGTTGTTACATGGCTTACCCACGGGTTAAGTTATAGATCCACCTCCATCGTGTCTTGGATCTGCTTCAAGCCTGGGCCCACTTGAGCCTCCCAGGAAGCACTGATTCTCCTCCAGGTCCCCTGCTTCCTGTTCATCTATACAGGGCTGCAGCTCTAGTGTGCTGCTGGCTAACAGCTAGGCTGCCACACCTGGTCCCTCAGGGGCCAGAGCCTTGCCTTATTTATCTTTGAATCTCTACTTGCACTCTACAGCTGCAGTTTTATAGCCCAGGAGGGAATTCATTTATATAGGCAACAGGTATTTATTGAATTCATGCCTGGGGTGGGGCCTGTCGAGGGCAATGGAGTTGTAGCTGCAGACATGACCTGCAGGAGTTTTCCTGCTCACTTAGAGCTGGTATTCCAGTGGGGGATGAGGATAGCAGGCAGTGGTCGGTACAGACAGTAAGCAGGGAATTTCAGGATATGCTAACAAGAAACTAGCTGGTGTGACATGGCGTGGGTAGGGGTGGGCAGGGGAGGAGGAGCCAAGCGACAGGGGAAGACTGCTCCAGGTAGGGAGGCTCCGCTTGGGAGGTGAGGTTTTAGTCAAGACCAGAAGTATAAAAGAGAGTGAAGTGTGTGGACACCTGGGTGCAGAGCATTCCAGACAGATGAAGAAGCTAGGGTGTAAGTCTGGAGATAGTTATAAAGCTGCCACCTGTGGAGAATGACAGGGAGGCCAGGGTGGGGAGGGCTGCGGAGGAGAGGGGCTGGCGGAAGTTGGCGGGGAGCAGATTGTGCAGGGACTGGGAGGATATGGGCAGTATCGGCTTCTATTGTGTGTGCAGCGGGGAGCCACTAGAGGGCTTTGAACTGGGGACTGGTTTGATCTGACTTGTTAAAAAAGGAAGACTGGAGGGGCAAGAATGCAAGCCGAGAGGAAACGTGGGAGGCCGCTGCAGTTATCCGGTCGAGATGGCGTGGCTCAGACTGGGGTTGAAGCAGGGGAGTTGAGAGTCCTTAGGAATTTAGGGCATATTTTGGAGGAGGGGCCTTTTTCAGGACAGCTGCTGAATTGGCTGGGGGTGGGCCAGGGTTCAGAGGGGTAGAGGCAGCTTTGGATAGTTGGTTGGGGAGTATGCCCTGCGGAGGAGCTCTTTTGGCAGAGACCTAAAGGATAGGAGGTAGTTGTGCAAAGGTCTCAGCACAACCCGAAATGGGAATAAGCTGGATGTGTTCAAGGAACACAAAAGAGGCCAGGGGCCGGGACATTGTGAATGTTGGGGGCTTTGTAGGCCAGATAAGAATGGTAGGTTTTAGTCTAGTAGAGGAAGCCATTGGAAAGCTAAAAGCAGAAGAGTAAAGCTGTCTGCCTTTTAAAGTACTGCTCTGGTGGCAGTGTGAGGGGACACAAAAGGAGAAGCAGAGGGCCTGTGTTGTGACCCCGTTACTCCTGGAAGAGTGAGGGATGGCTTGGGTTTTTGGGGAGAGGGCCGTTTGAGTTGATGTTCAAGAGTAGTCCCATGCCATTGGATCCAGCAATCCCGCTGCTGGGTACAAACCAAAAGAATTCAAACAAAGCAGGAACTCAGTAAGATATTTGTGTATTCAGGTTAATAGCAGCATATTTGCAATAGCCAAGGGGTAGAAGCAACCCAAGCGTTTATCAGCTGATAAATAGGTAAACAAAACTTTCATACAATGGAATATTATTCAGCCTTAAAAAGGAAGGAAATTCTGCAATATGCTACAACATGGGTGAGGCTTGAAGACATTATGCCAAGGAAAATAAGCCAGTCACAAAGACCAACACTGTATGATTCCACTTGTGTGAGGTTCCCAGAGTAATCAGATTCCTAGAGACAGAAAGAATGATGGGTGCCAGGGGTGGGGGAAGGGGAAATGGGGAATTAGTGTTTAACAGGTATGGAGTTTCAGCTGGGGAAGATGAAAAAGTTCTGAAGATGGATGGCGGTGATGATTGCACAACATGAATGTACTTAATGCCACAGAATCATTCATGTTAAGATGATAAATGTTATGATATGTGTATTTTACCACAATTAGCAAAAAGCCTAATCTTTTGAAGTCGGAGCAGAGGTCAAGGCTGTCTCAGTGAAACAGAACTATCTCAGAGACTGCTGGCGTGAAGGCAGCTGCCTGGCTTTCTCTCCTGCTCTCTGCTCCTGGACCTCTTGCTTGAGGGTCTTCACTCGTGACAGTGTCTAGGACATAACTGTTTTCTTTAATGAGCTGGGCCTTGAGAAGGTAGAAAGCAAATTCTACCCACATTCACTGTAGGGCGTCTGCCCAAGGTGGGTAGTTCTGATCTTGCCCTTTCCTCATCCAGCCTCTCTAAAGAGTGCTTTGCCCTTTGACAGGATGCTCACGAATTATTCCATGTCATTACCTCGTCATTGGAAGATGAGCGAGACCGCCAGCCTCGGGTCACACATTTGTTTGATGTGCATTCCCTGGAGGTAAACGATTAATATTTCCAACACGTTCTGTGCAACTTATGCATATTTGATAAGTATAGGAGAGGCAAGTGTAATCTTTGTACAACTTTAAACACAAAAGTAAGATTCAGTAAAAATCAGTGATAGGAATGAGGCCGGGGAGGGTCTTTAAACTACATGCTTTGCAGTTGGTGACTCTGATTAGGGATGTCAAGGCTCTTTCAAATGATTCATTGCTGCAATTTGTGTTGGCTTTGAGAAGAAAGAATGTGTTGTTTTTTCCTATTTAATACAGGGGAACAGGGGCCATAGGAATACTAAGTGACCCCTCATTTCCCTGTAACAGTATAAATATCGGGGGGAGTTGATAAAAGTTAAACAGTAAGGATGAAAATATTCTGGAGAGAAGAAATAGGTTTCTATTGCATTTGATGAAAGAATATGCATAGTATCCAGCCAGATAGGCTAATTGAGGCTACCTTTAGAAACCTGAGCTTTGTTAAAAGTTGATTTTTAGTGGTGTATTCAACGTAGAAACTTGTAAGGTTTAGGGGTGGGGTAAGGGTGGTAAAAGGGATTATAGCAGGGTTTTCAGTCTGTTTTTTTTTTCCCCTACAGCAGCAGTCAGAAATAACTCCCAAACAAATTACCTGCCGCACAAGAGGTAGCCGTTTTCCATTGAAATATAACACATAAGATGTGGACTTTTAAGATATGATAATAATTTGCTTGTGTTAAAAATATTTTTTTCTGGTGACATACAGGCCAGCTTGAAGTGTGATGTGCTTGCAAAGGAAGTTGTATTTTGGAAATAGCTTTAAATAGATTCTCTTGGTGTTCCCTTGCACCCCAGCCCAGCTTACTTTTCTTGAAACTGGCTTATTTGTACTTCAAACAAGGGCTTTCTTTTTACCTTTTCAAATTGATTCTGGGAAGAACGTAATGAGCTGAATCTGTCGTGTCTTCAGCATTTCCAGTGCTGCCAAATTCTACTGCATGTTACCAAAGTCTTCCTTAGGAGGAAATTGTTGTTTTCTTAAGACTTAAGGCCAGGCGCGGTGGCTCACGCCTGTAATCCCAGCCTTTGGGAGGCCGAGGCGGGTGGATCACCTGAGATCAGGAGTTCAAGATCAGCCTGATCAACATGGAGAAACCTCATCTCTACTAAAAATACAAAATTAGCCGGGCATGGTGGCGCATGCCTGTTATCCCAGCTACTCTGGAGGCTGAGGCAGGAGAATTGCTTGAACCCGGGAGGCGGAGTTTGCGGTGAGCTGAGATCGTGCCATTGCACTCCAGCCTGGGCAACAGAGCAAGACTTTGTCTCAAAAAAAAAAAAAAGACTTAAAAAATACAATTAGCATATAAATTCCTTTGTGTAGTAATAGGAACAAGTATTTTTTGAGCCCATGCTGTTTGCCAGGCTTTGCATTATCTCATTTAAGCCTCATAACAACTCTACAAAGTTGATAGTACTGGAGTTAATGGGATAATAACTATCCCAATTTTCTGCACACTGAGGCTTGCAGAGATGAAAGGCATTCCCAGGTCAGGCAGCGAATAAGAAGCAGAGCCAGAGCTGATCCTTGGGCTGCCTGACTCCAGAGCCTGGGTTTCTCACTTACGTTCTTTCCATTGAACCCCATTCTAGCCAAAGCAAGGCCTAGTTATTCAGAACTTGCTTATTCTGATTATTTCCGAAGATTTTATCTCACTTTATGGAATGTTCACTGGTGGTATCCTTCTTTTGACATCTCAAACGTTTTAAGCATGTGTTTGTAAAAAGACGTTATTAAACACAAATTCCTTTTTAAAATGTGGCTCTACCCATTATACAGAAACCATATGTAAAGATAGATCTGTGTAAATTCTCCTATGAAGGAATGGGATGTCTTTTGGATGGAAGTCAATGAGGAAAGCTATTTCAATGTACTTTTCAAGAACATTTTTTCTCAAGAGGGAGTTTCTACGACATACTAGAAAGGAAGATGAATGTTGAGCTTGGTGCCAAAGGGCTAAAAGTGACATATCAAAAAACTTTTTGCATTCCAGGGTCACCTCACCCCACATCCAATCACTGGAAGTCTCAACATCCTTTTCATGGAAGACTCACTAGTAATATGGTCTGCAAACACTGTGAACACCAGGTAAATACCAACACTTGTTATTTCTGGAGGAGGTTTTCCAAAAGTTAGGATTCTTAAAAGGACCTAGAGAGTGGGCTGGCATTGGTCACTGGTGTTAGAGACTACCTAGCCTCTGCACACTAGTGGACTGACTACCCCACTTCGGTCAGTGTCAGCATGTCATTTGATCCTCAGATGGCATCTTCTGCTCCAAGGACAACAGACCCCCTGTGGATTGGCAGGATCTCGAGTCCAGTGGTTGGGTCTTTGCTCATGGTGGACACAGTAGATTCTAGGGCTGGTTTTTTCCCCTTTGCTTTTGAGGTTTTAAAATAATATTTTATTATGGAAAATTTCCAACATCATACAAAAATAGAGAATTGTACAACTGTCACCCCAATCCATTTTATTTTATTTTATTTTTTCACAGCCATTACTGACTCTGGGATCAGTCAACTTTATCACATTTTCATTGCCCCCTAAAAAAACTCCAGACTCATTAGCAGCCTCTCCCCATCCTTTCCATCCCCCTACCCCTTGTCAACCATGAATCTACCTCTGTCTCTATGGATTTGCATATTCCGGATACTTCATATAAATGGAATCATGTAATGTGTGACTTTTTGTGTCTGGCTTCTTTCATTTAGCATAATATTTCCACGTTTCTTCCATATTGTGGCATGAATCAGTACTTTGTTCCTTTTATTACCAAATAATATTGCATTACATGGATCTACAACATTTTTTTTCCATTCATCAGTTGATGGGCATTTGGATTGTTAGCACTTTTTGGCTACTATGAATAATGTTGCTGTGAACATATACATACAAGTTTTTGTGTGGACATATATTTTCACTTCAATTGGGTAATTGCTAGCTTATATGGTAACTCTTTTGTTTAACCTTTTGAGGAACTGCCAGACTGTTTTCCAAAGTGACTATGCCATTTTACATTCCCACCAGCAGTGTACAAGGGGTTCCAATTCTCCACAGCCTCACCCACATTTTGATGTCAGCCCACTCTCTAGGTCCTGTCTGACATTGTGGTTCTAGCCATCCTACTGAGTGCAAAGTAGTATCTAATTGTGGCTTTCCCCCGCAGCTTTATTGAGATCTAATCAACAATAAAAATTGTATATATTTAGGGTATACAAAGTGATGATTTGATGTGTGTGTGTGCATGTGCACCTGTGCTTATATGTGGTGAGAACACTCTCAGTATATTTCAAGAATACAATACAGTATTATTAACTGTAGTCACCATGCTGTACGTTAACTCTCCAGAACTTATTCATCTTATAACGGAAGGTTTGCATCTTTGAGCAACATCTCCCCACCTCCCCAGCCCCGGCAGCCACCATGTACTCCGCTTCTGTGAGTTTGGCTTTTCTAGATTCCATGTAGGTATGAGATCAGGCAGTGTTTATCTATATCTGGCTTATTTCACATAGCAGGTGGCCTCCAGTTTCATCTATGGTGTCACAGATGGTAGAACTTCCTTTTTGATGGCTGAATAATATTCCATTGTACATGTATACCACATTTTTTCATTCATCTGTCTAGACGTTCCATATCTTCGCTATTGTGAATAATGCTACAGTGAACATTGTTTTGCAGATATATCTTTGAGATCCTGATTTCATTTGCTCTGGATATATACCTAGGAGTGGTATTGCTAGTTCATATAGTAGTTCTATTCTTAACTTTTTGAGGAACCTCCATACTGTTTTCCATTTACATTCCCACCAACAGTGTACAAGCGTTGTCTTCTCTCCACACCCTCGGCAACACTTGTTACATGCTGTCTTTTTTTTTCAGACGGAGTCTCGCTCTGCCTCACCCAAGCTGGAGTGCAGTGGTGCCATCTTGGCTCACTGCAACCTCCGCTTCCTGGGTTCAAGCAATTCTCCCACCCCAGTCTCCTAAGTAGCTGGGATTACAGGCACATGCCAACATGCCCAGCTAATCTTTTGTATTTTTAGTAGATATCAGGTTTCACCATATTGGCCAGGCTGGTCTTGAACTCCCAACCTCAGGTAATCCGCCTGTCTGGCCTCCAAAAGTACTGGGATTAAGGCATGAGCCACTGCACCCGACCACATGCTGTCTTTTTGGTAATAGCCATCCTAACAGGTGTGAGGTGATAGCTCTTTGTGGTTTTATTTGCATTTCCCTGATGATTAGTGATATTGAGTGCCTTTTCATATACCCGCTGGCCGTTTATATGTCTTTTTTTGGAAAGTGTCTATTCATGTCCTTTGTCCATTTTTTAATTATGTTACTTTGTTTTGTTTTGTTTTTTGCTGTTGGTTCATATGAGTTCCTTATAAGCACTCTCTTAGTATATTTCAAGTATTCAGTTTTGGATATTAACCTCTTATCAGATATATGGTTTGCTAATATTTTCTTTTATTCCATATGTTGCCTTTTCATTTTGTTGATTTTTGATTGCTGTGTCATTGCGGTTCTGAGTGACATTACCTTGAAGACTAATATGTTGAATGGTCTTTTTAAAAATAAGGTTCGCATATTAAGATATGTAAGATATGTTAAGGAACTATAATCTATAAGTTGACTATTCATCTCTTTTTTCCTTGCATTGTTTTGATACTATTGTAAATAGAATAAAAAAAAATTATTTTCAAATTGTTTGCCACTAGTATATAGACAGACAGCTGTTTATATTTTGACCTTCTATTTGAGATTTTTGTAAACATTCATTTATTCTAGAAGCTATAGAAGTTTTGTTATATGTTCCTTAGTATTCTCTGTGTATGTAAACAGTCATGTTGCTTATGAATGGAAATAGTTTTAGTTCTTCCTTTCCAATCCAATATTTATTCCTTTTTTTTTTTTCTTTGCCTTATTATCCTGGCTAAGACTTCTGGTACAAAGTTAAATAAGAGTGATGATAGCAGACATCTTTGCTTTGTTTCAGATCTTCTGAAGCAAGTATTTGGTGTTTTATAATTAAGTATGATATTAGCTTTAGGTTTTAGTTTACCCCTTTATCATACTGAGAAACTTCCCTTCTGTTCCTAGTTTGCTGAGAATTTTTGTAATTAATAGTGATTGAATTTTCTCATTTTTTTCCTGCATCTATTGAGATGATCATATTTTATTTTATTATTTTATTCTGTTAACACGGTGAATTACAGCAATTCATTTTTCTAAGTTAAACCAGCCTTTCTGGGATAAACCGCACTTGATGGTGATGCTGTATTGTTTTTATATATTAGTGAATTTGATTTGCTAATATTTCCTAAAGGATATTAGTATCTATGTTTATGAGGAATATTGTTCTTACACTTTTCTTCTCTTGTGATGTCTTTGTCAGGCTTTGTTATAAGGATTATACTAGCCTCATAAAATAGGCTGGAAAATGTTCACTCCTCTGTTTACTGAAAGATTTTGTTTAATATTGGTATTATTTCTTGCTTGTTTGTTAAAATTTGTCTTTCTTTAGCTCTATTTCTGCTAATTTTTTTAAACTTTGTCATTGGATACAAGCGTATGTATTATGATGAGTTAACTCATCTTGTCATGATAAATTGTCCCTCTTCATTTCTGCTAAGACTCCTTGACTTGAAGTCTATTTGAGTGACTCATTTTTAATCTAGCTAATGTTTATTTGGTAATTTCTTTCTGTTATTTTCAGCCCTTTAAAGTGTGGCTTTGTGGACAGCATATAATGGGTCTTGCTTTTTTATCTAGCTTGACAGTCTTTTAGTTGGAATGCTTAGTCCATTTACATTCAGTTTAAGTATTGATGTGATTAGATTTCAGTCTGCCATTTTACCATTTATTTTCTGTTTGTCTTACATTTTTTCTTGTTCTTCTGTTCCCCTTCACTGGCTTCTTTCAGGTTAATGGAATACTTTTTAGTATTCCGTTTTAATACCTTTGTTGGCCTTTTAGCTTTACTCTTGTGTGTGTGTGTGTGTGTGTGTGAGATTACATTATGCAATTTTACCTTATCACATTCTGTTTAGAGTTAATATTATACTTCGTCATGTAAAATCCTGGAATATTACAAAAATATAGTTCTGTTACCCCAGCCTTTGTGCTATTATACATACATTATAAACCCTACAATACGGTGTCATAGTTTTTGCTTTAAAGAATTATGTGTGTTTCATTTCATTTCCTTTGGATATATGCCCGGAAGTGGTATTGCTAGTTCATACAGTAGTTCTGTTCTTAACTTTTTGAAGAACCTCCTCAGTACGATTTTCCATAATAGCTGCACCAGCCAGGCGCTGTGGCTCACGTCTGTAATCCCAGCACTTTGGGAGGCTAAGGCGAGTGGATCACAAGGTCAGGAGTTCAAGACCAGCATGGCCAACATGGTGAAACCCCGTCTCTACTAAAATTATAAAACTTAGCCAGGCATGGTGGCGGGCGCCTGTAATCCCAGCTACTCCAGAGGCTGAGGCAGGAGAATGGCTTGAACCTAGGAGGCCAAGGTTGTATTGAGCCAAGATCGCTCCACTACACTTTAATCCGGGCGACAGAGTAAGACTCAGTCTCAAAAAAAAAAAAAAAAAAAAGCTGCACCAATTTACATTGCCACCAGTAGTGTGTAAGAGTCACCTTCTCTTCTATTAATTAATTAATATAAAAAAAATTTACCTTTTTTCTTGTTCTCAGTCTTTCATGTAGATGAAAATCCATTTTATGTTTTTTTCCCTTTTGGTCTAAAAACATCCTTTCAACATTTGTTATAGGTGTACTGGTGATGGATACACTTAGATTTCATGTATATGAAAATGTTTTTGTCTTACCTTCATTTTTGAAGAATAGTACTTGCTGGATATAGAACTTTGGGTTGACGGTGTTGCATTGTTTTGCTTTGGTTTATTTTAAATTCATCATTTTAAGGACATTGTTCTATTGTCTTCTGGCCTCCATTTTTTCAGTTAGTGTCATTTATATCATTCTTCTCTATGTAAAGTGTCATTTTTTTCTTCTGCTTATACTGCTTACAAAATTTTCTCTTTATTTTTGTTCATGCTGTGTATAGATGTGGTTTTCTTAGTATTTATCTTATTTATCTTGTTTGGGGTTGCTGAGTTTCTTAAATCGGTACTTTTTTTTTTTTTTTTAAACCAAATTTGAAAATTCTTGGCCATTATTTTTTCAACAAAGATTTTATGCCCATTTTTCACTTGTTAGTTTACTTAATGTTGGCCCACAGGTCACTGAGGTCTTGTTCAATTTTCTTCAATCTTTCTTCTGTGTGTTCTTTAAATTAGATCATTTCTGTTATCTTCATGTTCACTGATTCTTTTCTCTCTTTTTTCCTTTTTTTTTTTTTTTTTTTGTTTTGATACAGGGTCTTAGCTCTGTCATCCAGGCTGGATTGCAATAATGTGATCATAGCTCACTGCAGCCTCAACCTCCCAGGCTCAAGTTATCCTCCCACCTTAGCCCCCCTGAGCAGCTGGGACTACAGGTGTGCACCACCACACCCAGCTAATTTTTTTTATTTTTTGTAGAGACAGGGTCTCACTGTGTTGCTCAGGTTGGTCCCAAACTCCTAGGCTCAAGTGATCCTTCCACTTCAGCCTCCCAAAGTGTTGGGATTACAGGTGTGAGCCACCATACCTGGCCTGATTCTTTTTTCATCTCCAGTCTCTGTTTGCCTATGCAACAAATTTTTCATGGTAGTCACTGTTGTTTTTAGTTATAGAATTTCTATTGCCTTCTTTTTAATAGTTTCCATTGTTCTGAGATTCTCAATTTGTTCATTCACTATCACTGTATATTTTCCTTTACATCCTTGAGCATATTTATGATGCATCTGTGAGGTCCTTGTGTGCTGACTTCTTTGTATTTTATGTTTAGTAATTTTTTATTGTATACATAACATCATAGTAGAGACATAGAGAGTAGGGATTCTGTTACATTTCTATGAAGAAAAATTAATTTTCTTCTGGCCCGCAGTTAACCTGGCTGGGCTCAAACTCAACTCTGTCTCCCCTACATTGGGTGGCAAAACCTCTGCTCAGTTTTTTTAGCTTCCAGCTGCTACTTTTTGCCAGGCTCCCTGGAGTTTCCCCCGTGCACGTGTGGTTCAGGGATCAGCCCTGGAATTGAACAGAGTTTAGGTATAAACTTTGGGGCTCATCCCCTCTGTGTCTCCTTTCTTCCTGGCATTTACCCTGGTCTCTCCACCAGCCCTGGTTCTTGAACTCTGTCATCTGACTACTCAATCCTGTAGGATGCTGCTTTTTGCCACTCAGCACCACATCAACCAGGAAAAAAAAGCCACAAACACACAAATCTCACCCACAGAGTTCTGTTTTTCCAAGAGTTGATTTCTTTTCCATTTCTGCCTGCTTTTGGTAGCTCTGTGTTCATTCAAACCGTTTTGTTTTGTTTTGTTCCAAACTTTACAATTGTTATCTCGGCCGGGCGCGGTGGCTCAAGCCTGTAATCCCAGCACTTTGGGAGGCCGAGACAGGTGGATCACGAGGTCAGGAGATCGAGACCATCCTGGCTGACACAGTGAAACCCCGTCTCTACTAAAAAATACAAAAAACTAGCCGGGCGAGGTGGCGGGCGCCTGTAGTCCCAGCTACTCGGGAGGCTGAGGCAGGAGAATGGCGTGAACCCGGTTGGCGGAGCTTGCAGTGAGCTGAGATCTGGCCACTGCACTCCAGCCTGGGCCTCAGAGCGAGACTCCGTCTCAAAAAAAAAAAAAAAACAATTGTTATCTCAAGGAGGGTTAATCTACCCAAGCGCCTCTGCCATCACCAAAAGCAGGCACTTGTCTCACCCTACTTCATCGTCTGCTTTTTTGCAATGAATAATCTAATGTGAACATCTTTCCACATGATCATACGCTCTTCTACATTTTGTTTAACATAGTGTTTCATTCTGTGGACATGCTATATAATTTATTAAACCATTCGCTGAAACTTTCAACTACAGTCATGTGCTGTATGATGATGTTTTGGTCAATGACAAACCACATATATGATGGTGGTCCCGTAAGATTATAATACTTTATTTGTACGGTACTTTTTCTATGTTTAGATGCACAAATCCTGCCCACTGTGTTACAGTTGCTTACAGCATTCAGTACGGTAACATGTTGTACAGGTTGGTAGCCTAGGGGCAGTAGCTAGACCATATGGCCTAGGTGTGTAGTAGGATGCACCATCTAGGTTTTGTAAGTGCGCTCTGTGATGTTTACACAATGATGACATCACCTAAGGATGCATTTCTCAGACTGTATCCCCATTGTGAAGTAATGCTGACTGTATTCAAATTTTTGCTATTATAAATAATATTGATGAATATCCTTGTAGTTATGCCCATGGTTATTTCCTTAAAATAAAATCCCAAAATTATTTCTGGCTCAGGTATTTAATCTTTCAGTTGTTCCAAGCGATTCTTTAGTATTATTGTACCTCTTATGTGTACAAGGTTGTTTTAATAGAATTTGATTCTAACTAAGTACATTATATTTTACTATGTTAATGTTGGGCATCTCAATATTAAACTGTTTCATAGTCACATATCTTCCATCTTTAAAACTTTGAACTAAGCCTAAATCTTTTCTGGATTTTCTGCAATATTTGTTTCAGAGTCCTGTTCGATTTGATACCTTTGATAGCCTTTCACTAAGTATTCCAGCCGCCACATGGGTATGTACTGATTTATGGTTTATTTGGAGTCTGTTTCAGAGACATTTCAATCTGAAAGGGTTTTGAGGCATTTTATGTGGCTCAGGCACTATGTGTAATTCAGATACATGGTTGAACCCCATGTTAACTCAGATACACGGTTGGTTGAACCCCATGTTAACTTTACTATGTGGCATGATTATGGGAGGGAGGATAATGAATGGTTTTTCTTTTGCTCCAGAAATTTTGGCTTTTTGAATACACACACACAGACATTAACCTCAAATTCAAAGATACCTAAAACAGCATGGAAGTCCACAAGTTCGTGCAGTTACATCCTCCTGCTCTAGAATCTGTCCATAATAGCAGTCTAGGGAGCTTTGAGTCCCATGTTTGTCCAGGAAACATCCAGTTGTGACTATAAAACTTTATTGTCTGCATACATCAAAATAAAGTTCTGGTCTTCACACTGCCATCTGCTAACAGTTTCAGTATAGCTGTCCTTTGAATTGTAGTAATTTTCTTCTTCTCATGCTGTAGGGTCACCCATTGACCCTGGACCACTGCCTTCACCACTTCATTTCATCAGAATCAGTGCGGGATGTTGTGTGTGACAACTGTACAAAGGTATGCATTGAACCCCAAATGTCATTCCCAGCAGCACACACAGACCCCAAATGGTCTGTGTGTGCTGATGTAGCACCTCTCACACCACTGACCCTGAGCTCTTCTGACTGTACCCAGTGGGTCTTTTCAGCCACTTCTACTTCTCCCTAATTTGCTTTGGACATTGGCCGCTCATGGACCAAATCTCTTTCCCAGATGAGTTTTGTTTCATGCACAGTGTTTAAAGAATAAACTGTCACACTGAGATGAGAAATGCCCTCTCCAGTTTGCTGCAGTTGCTTCCAGTCCCATTTGTTTTGCACCCTTTTTTTTAACCTGTGCTACCTGCCTGACTCCCCTAAGTAACTGAGTTTTCCCCTCTGACTCAAGAGGAACTGTATGGAACAGAATTTTTGAAGACAGAGAACAATTAATAGATGACATGCCAGTGTCAGAGCATCAATGTTCGCTCTTCATGTTCTCTTCCCTCCACTGTTTCTGTTATTTAATGACTAAGAGAGATCAGGGAAAACAATTCACAAATAACTGGGCAGCTGAATTCATTTCAGCAGGTAGCAGTCAAGTGCCAACTGTGTGCCGCTATAACACCACTGTGGTCTGCAGCACTCCAAAGCTGTCCTATTTTAGGCATTTCTGCAGAGAAATGTTTCTTTTATTTCAGATTGAAGCCAAGGGAACGTTGAATGGGGAAAAGGTGGAACACCAGAGGACCACTTTTGTTAAACAGTTAAAACTAGGGAAGGTGAGCCCACACCACACACCCTGTTGGTTTTGTTTTGAGGACTCCGTGTGTCCTGCCGCTGAAACAACTCAGTTCTCCCGGTTTCTCTCCCACCCGCAGCTCCCTCAGTGTCTGTGCATCCACCTACAGCGGCTGAGCTGGTCCAGTCACGGCACGCCTCTGAAGCGGCACGAGCATGTGCAGTTCAATGAGTTCCTGATGATGGACATTTACAAGTACCACCTCCTTGGACATAAACCTAGTCAACACAACCCTAAACTGAACAAGAACCCAGGGCCTACACTGGAGCTGCAGGATGGGCCGGGAGCCCCCACGCCAGGTGTGTGCACGAGGAGCCGGTGCAGCAGGAATTTTCAGCACAGAGAAAAGCAGTTTGGCGTCACCACCTTCTGGGTCCCTTATGACATGAGCACAAGGCTTGTACAATGGTTGCTTAAACTCTTGAGAACAGCAGGATTGGGGGTGGAAGAGGGAAGATTTCTTAGAAGAGGTTAAAATTATGTAGCAGAGAGATGTATGGTTTTCGAAACCATATTACAGATGAAAAAGTACAGAGAGAAACGCTTAAAATTGCAGCCTTGTCTTCTGATCTTTCCACTAAATGATATAATCATTGGCTCACATCATTCCAGTGAATTTTTTTTTCTTTTTTTGGTCGTGTCATTTCCTGTCAGTACAGGAAATGTGGGGAGGACATGTCCTGGCTAAAGATCACCAAACCTCTTCTGGGGGCTGAAGTGACTTCCGTACTGAATTGTGTATCTGATTCCATTACTGCCCTCAGCTGAGGTCTCAGTTAAGCCAGGTAGCTATTATCACCCCTGGTCTTACTGATGAGAACGTGGAGGCTCCATGGGGTTGAATGATTGGTCCAAGGGCAAACACCGCACGGGAGAACTGGCCCTAGAATGCCATGTTGGTCCATTTTCTAAAGGTGTCTCTAGTGACACACTGAGTTCTTTAGAGTTAGACATGAGGAAAACCCACTCACTTGAAGGGCTCTCAGCCTGAACTCACCACCTGCCTGCCGCCCCCAGTTAGGTCAGGATCGTCTCACACCCCGTACTTTCCTATTTAGGGTCCCTTAGTCCTTTTGTTCTTTTTGTGACCACAGTTGCATGGCCCGACACCTCATCATGTCAGGGAGATTGTGTTTTCCTCTTTCTCATCAAGTCACTAAATTAACATCGAAAAGAGATGAGGTAGGGGACAGACTCAGGTTCAGCCCTTAGCCCTGGTTTTAAATCAAAGACCTCTGCACCCCAGCTTCCCCCTCTCCTGGGCTGGGGTGCAGGTTTACTAAAGTTGAGAGCATGCTGGCTGTGGTTAAAGATGCCAGCAGTAGGGCCAGTCGTGGTGGCTCACACCTGTAGTCCCAGCAGTTTGGGAGACCGAGGTGGAAGGATTGCTTGAACCCAGATGTTTGAGGCTGCAGTGAGCTGTGATCATGCCACTGTGCTCCAGCCTGGGCAACAGAGCAAGAGCCTGTCTTAAAAAAAAAAAAAAAGTCATCAGTAAACTACTTGGTATGTAACGGCCCCCAAAAATGACACTTGAAAGGAAAAGACATGTAAATATGGCCTTAATTATCTTATGTATACCCATAAACATGTATTAATGCTGTTACATGTTGGTATTCCTTAGAAGCTGACAGAATTAAAGAAAATAGAATGCTTAGATCAGTGGTTCTCAACTTGGAGGAGTTTTGCCGCCCGAGGGACATTGGGCAATGTCTGGTAACAGTTTTGGTTGTCACTGCTAGGGGAGGGGTGCTACTGGGTAAAGGCCAGGGATGCTGTTCAACATCCTCTGATGCACAGGACAGGCCCCGCAACAAAGAATGATCCAGCCAAAACCGTCTGGTGCCATGTTGAGAAACTTTGGTTTAGGTCAAAAGCCAGTAAATTAGCTACTGATTAACTTTGATACATGCCATTAGCAAACAGGGCTAGGAGCTCAAAGATCCCAGGCTAGCCATAAAGCTGGAGCTAGATACACTTGTCCTATTTGGCATTAAGACAGATTATCCCTATTTGAGATTAAGGATAAAGGGCAGATTATTTTATGAATCTATATAATACCAAATGAAATATATTTTTTTCTTTGTAGCATTATGGGGAGTTAACTTTCAAGGTAATCAAAACCAGGCTTTGTTTACAGAGCCACTGCTTATTTTTCTTTGACTTGGGCCTTTTTCTCTTGCAGTTCTGAATCAGCCAGGGGCCCCCAAAACACAGATTTTTATGAATGGCACCTGCTCCCCATCTTTATTACCAACGCTGTCCGCACCGATGCCCTTCCCTCTCCCGGTTGTTCCCGACTACAGGTGAGCTGCCCTTTACAGGCCCCATCTTAGAGCTACCACTACTCTTAGCTTCGAAAATTAGCTTTTCACAGAAATGAATTCAGGAATATGTAGAAGTTTATTTTTCATTTTAAGGTGAAGTTTCATGATTATACATTCTTATTTATTTTTGTTCAAAATGGAAATAACTTTTAAACTAAGAATTTTTAAAGTACATAAAATTTACATATGCATATGTATGTGTATATATATGTGTATATGTATAAAATATAAAGAAAATATAAAATTTCTTGGGATACCACCTAGAGATAGCCAATTAAACATTTAGGGTCACGCACTCTATAAAGTCATATGTGGGTATGTGAACACACATACATACAGTATACATAAACACATACACTCATTTGATACAAACATACACATATATACAATATACATATACTCATAGAATGTACATCTTGCGATGTCAGTAAATACAGATCTGTATCTTAATAGTTGTGTAGCATTCGGTGGTATGGACTTACTATTGTATTGATCCCCTATTTGACATTAGGATTCTTTCGTTTTTGCCTATAAAGTCTTTTTTGTTAAAATTGTAAACCCCTGACATGTGTTCCTATCGTTCAGCTCCTCCACATACCTCTTCCGGCTGATGGCAGTTGTCGTCCACCATGGAGACATGCACTCTGGACACTTTGTCACTTACCGACGGTCCCCACCTTCGGCCAGGAACCCTCTCTCAACCAGCAACCAGTGGCTGTGGGTCTCCGATGACACTGTCCGCAAGGCCAGCCTGCAGGAGGTCCTGTCCTCCAGCGCCTACCTGCTGTTCTATGAGCGCGTCCTTTCCAGGATGCAACACCAGAGCCAGGAGTACAAGTCTGAAGAATGACTTCGCCCTCCTGCAAGGCTAGAGCTGATGGCACTGTCTTCACACTGTCCGGGAAAAAAGTAAAACTGTACTGTTGTGTGTGCAAGCAGCCGCACTGGAGCCTTCCAGCTTTCCGGTGTGTTCTGAGAGCAGGCTCCACCTGGGAGCCAGCCCCAATTCATACCAAATCAGGCTCCCTGAACAGCTCTGTTCATGTGTGTAGAAGGTACTGTTGTATTAAGAAAGCATTCATTATGTCTGGAGTGTCTTTTTACTCATCTGATACAGGTCATTAAAAGAATGCAGATTCTTGAAGCCACCGTTTTCATATTGTAATGTTAGGTGTTCTCAGAGGGGATGCACCTTTGTGTAATCAGCGTTTCCACCCAGATCTTTTATTTTTAATAAGCAGGCCCATAAAAATTGTTGACAAGAATTAATGAAATTATTAAAGGCAACAATTTAGAAGAAAAAGTGCCTTTCACTTTCGATTGCTTTTATATAGCACATCCATTCTGAAATATTCCTTCCAGGCTCCTCAAAGGATAGCGAGAGAACAGGTGAAAGATGCCTAAAGAACACTTTCCTTTTTCTATGCCTTTTCTAATCTTCCAGTTCTTTCTATGGAGTAAAGGCTCATCTGCCAAATCTGCCCCCCTGGGGAAACTCTTTCACTACTTTGTCGGTTATAAGTGAAAAGCTTACTTGTTGCTTTTATCTTTTGTATATTGGACTGAGATGTAATTACACTGTATTATAAAACTCTGTGAATAGCCAGACCTGAGCTAGATCTTTGCAACACCTGATTCCTCTGCCCTGTGGAAAACTCTTTCTTACACAAGGATCCACTGTAAATGGTTACTTTCGTCTGTTTATTTATTGCCCATGCAGAGCTCTTAAGGTTTACAGGTAGGAACTTGGGACTGTATAAAAAGACAATCCCTGCCCTGAGTAGACAGCGGGCTTAGGAAGGAAGGGCTGACCATGGGGCTGCAGTCTCTCTCAACCTCAGTTTCCTCATTTGTGAAGAGTTAGATTTGATGACACCAAAGTTCAGCCCTTTTCACGAAAAGAAGAAAGCAGCTTTTGACTTTTTAAAAACATATAACTACAGGTGGCATCTAGTATTGTATGTTGCTCTAGGTTCATATTCTGAATTTATTCATTTCCAGTAGCCTAATACAAAAAGTATATATTGAGCACTTTCTTCCCTTTTTGGATAAGTCTCTGAATGCAGCCCAGGGCCAAAGGAATTTTTATGACACAGTAGTACCTGTTTTAAGCTAGATTTTTAATTTAAAAAAATAGATCCAAATTCAAACCGACTCATCAGAGGTAAGACTGGAATCAGACCTATCCAAAAGGTCATCTGAGGTTAGGCTAAGACCTGTGCTTCCTCTGCTGGGGGCGAGCTGGTGGACACACCAAACGGTGCCTTGGCAGCAGCTCACCGTGCAGGAAGCCCAGATGGTCACTCTTCTACTGGGCCCAGGCTGCACCCTAGGACTCAGTAACTCTCACTGTCCACAGAATATACTGTACAGGCTCTCCAGGCTCTGGGCGTTGGGGTGCAAGGGGCAGCTTGAACTGTACGGTCCGTCCTGCACTCACCCGATGCAGACCTTGGCTTTGATGTTGAAATGAACACTTGTTTTACCCAAGTCTGGTGGAACAAATGCCCAAATCATGTGACCTTAAAGTGTACTGCAAAGCTGTAGCTTTAAGTAATTGCTGTTCTGCCACTGCTTACTTTTTGAAATCTACCATTAAAGAAAGATGGAGAAAAGCGGCTGAGCCTTGGAACGTACGGCTATAAGCAGATCTCTCTTTGGTGAGAGGCCAGGGTTTGAGCCAAGGCTATAAATGTGAACAATACCTGTGCAAAGCCTTTTAACCTGACTTCTTCATTTTGTAAATTATTATGCATTAAGCAGCAGCCCAATAATCTGATTTCTAGTTTTAAGTTATTTTCAAAGTAAGTAGCTTCTCTTGGGGAAGATCTAAGTTAAACTAGTGGTTTTGCCATAATAACTGCTGACTTATGTATTTGCTAAAGGTACTTTTGTATCTGCTGTGTATTATAGCAATAAAATCATCATTTTGTTAGGAAAACAGTCACCTGGTGTAATGCACTGATCTGTTACAAACATCGTCTTTCTGAATTCTGCACTGTTACATAACAAGTCCTGTGCTTTAAACCTTTCTGTGTTCCCTGTTGGTAAGGGAAACACTAGCTCCCTCTTAGAGTCCAGAGGGAAAGATAAAAGAGAAAAACCGTTAAAAACGTTTTTATTTTTTAGTAAGCAAAATTTTACGAAAAGTCAGATTGACCCGTGGAGCCAGAACCTTCTTTCTCACGGGAAGACTGTGGTACCAGTGTGTGTTGGTCGGGTGGTTCATCATGAGCAAGCTCCCGTGGGCCAGCGGCAGCCTGACCACCGCCACCCTCCGGGAGGGGCTTTTCCCACGGGAATCCTTATGCCGGAAGACAAAGTCTCTGCAGGCACCAAAGGAGACAGAGGCGATGGGGCTCCCAGGGGCCAGTTCTCTTTCATCATCTCGGTGCTCCCCAATGTGGTCACAGCCATCTTTATACCTGCAATGAGAAAACAAGCACAGTGCATAAAAACCACCCTCTCCTGAAACTCACCAGCACCGCCAGCCCTCGTTTCCTCACAGTGTGAAATGGCGCTCTGTGCATGGCTGTACCTGCTGTTGTTTCTGCGAGGGCTGGAGGTCCACAGCAGGCTCTAAGATAAGCCAACCCTGAAGGGGTCTGTTGACCTATTTGTTCATGTGACTTATTTATTATTTACTTATTTTTGAGAGGGTCTCGCTCTGTCACCCAGGCTGGAGTGCAGTGGCACAATCATAGCTCACTGCAGCCTTGGCCTCCCGGGCTCTCGTGATTCTCCCACTTCAGCCTCCCAAGTAGCTGGGACTACAGGTATGCACCACCCCACCTAACTAATTTTTTTTCTTTTGTAGAAATGTTTTCACCATATTACTCAGGCTGGTCTTGAACTCGGGCTCAAGCAATTCACTCTCCTCAGCCTCCTAAAGTGTTGGGATTACAGGCATGAGCCACCACACCCGGCCAGTTCATGTGCTTTAAAACTGAAGACATCCAAAGCCAAAATCATGTCTTACTGTAGTTCCCGTAGCCAGTCTATGTAAACCTTTATCACATGATTTCACCCTGCACTTAAAGGCCATACTCGGCCCAGCCTGGCCCCTGCCCACCTCTGAGCTCACGTCATCCCCTTCTTTCCCTCATTCACTGCTTTCTGGCCATCCTGCAGGATTTTTGCTTCACAGACACTCCAGAGTCCCTCTGCTCTCCCTCCAGATGTCTGTGGCTGTCACTCTCCATTTAGTTATCAGCTCAAACACACTGCCTCAGCCCTCCTCTAACCACCCCATCTAAAGTGACCTTCCCTTAAACCCACCCAGGGTTCTCCGCCAGGGTGATTCTGCCCCAGGGGACAGGTATTGGGGGGTGGGGGACACTACTTGCATCTAGTGGATGGAGGCCAGGGATGTGCTGAGCATCCCACAAGGCACAGGTCAGCCCCAAACAACGAATGACCGGGCCCAAAATGTCCACAGTGCTGCCACTGAGAAACCTGGCCCTAATCGCAAACCTCTCAGCCATTCTCAGTCAAATCGGCCTGTTTAATTTTTCGCAAGATGGTTATCACTGTCTGAAATTGTCTAGGGTCAGGCATAGTGGTTCACGCCTGCAATTCCAGACTTTGGGAGGCCGAGGTGGGAGGATCGCTTGAGTCCAGGAGTTTCAGACTAAGCCTGGGCAACATAGAAAAACCCTGTCTCAAAAAAAAAAAAAAAAAAAAAAAAAACAGAAAAAAAGAAAAAGAGAAGAAATTGTCTCATTCAGCTGTTTGTTCAGGAGTTAATAACCTCTCACTTCCTCCTCTGGGATGAGCTCCAGGAAGACCGAGCGCTGGCGCTGTTCCACTCCTAGAGCCCCGGTGTACTAAGAAATGATTTGTACCAATGAACCAAATAGGGTGGAACCCTAAACACTTCCTTTTGGAGGAGACAGAAGACTTGTAACATTGAGTCCACTAAACAGACAGGGTGTCACCTGTTGATGAGCACAAAGTTGAAGGTCTGTCCAGTCACCCCAGAGACGCGATCCCGGATGCGCTTGAGAACTGGGATCCAGGGCTTTGGAGACAGTGTGAGGCCTGAAAATGTGTAGGTCAGCCCAGCGTCGCCGTATGTTGCCTGCTTCCTGGGCACACTGTGCCACTTCCCGAATACCTGGACCCTGGTCAGCGCCCCTGTGCAGAGGAAACATGGCAGTTCCTTTCCACTCGACTCCCCTCTAGAAATCCAGACGGCCCTCCAACTGCCACCATCAGAAATCCAGTGCCCCACATACATGCTCCCTGGGTATTCAAGATTGACAGAGAAGTAAGGAATAACATTTCCCCGTCATTCCACGCAATTTAAACCCCTCCTCAATCATTTTGGCTTGCCCCAATGTTCTTTTTTTTGTTTTCCTTTCTTTGAGACAGGGTCTCCCTGTGTCACCCAGGCTGGAGTGCAGTGGCACAATCTCAGCTCACTGCAACCTCCACCTCCTGTGCTCCAGTGATCCTCCCGCCTCTGCTTCCTGAATAGCTGAGATGACAGAGGTGTGCCACCATGCCCGGCTAACTTTTTTGTAAACTCACTGCAACCTCCACCTCCAGGGCTCCAGCAGTCCCCCTGCCTCAGCCTCCTGAGTAGCTGGGACCACGGGGGCACGCCACCATGCACGGCTAACTTTTTTTGTATTTTTTTGTAGACACAGGGTTTTACCATGTTGCCTAGACTGGTCTTGAACTCCTGGGCTCAAGTGGTCCGCTCGCCTCAGTCTCCCAAAGTGCTGGGATTACAGGTGTGCACCACTGCACCAAGCCAATTGCCCCAAATGTGCATGTAAGAACAATGACTCTTGTCCTACAAGGAGAGAAACATGGTCCTGGGCCCTTTTTTTAGTGAACACTGTAACTTAACTGCCTTAACTACAGTAAAGGCAGAATAAAGAGGCTAAAAGTGGAGCACGATAATGTTAGTTTACAGGCTAGGATGGTTTTGTCAACTGTAGGGACTAAGGGCGTGTGACCGCATGAAAGATGGGGCTCACACGGCTAGGGTCCCTTGTGGGCATTTCTTTTTTTAAAGAGACGGCGAGCCAGGCGTGCTGGCTCATGCTTGCAATCCCAGCACTTTGGGAGGCCGAGGCGAGGATCACTCAAGGCCAGGAGTTCATTTAACAGTCTGGGTAACACGGTGAGACCTACAGATAATTTAAAAATTATACAGGCTTGGTGGTGTACATCTGGGGTCCCAGCTGCTTAGGATGCTGAGGTGGGAGAATCACTTGAACCCAGGCGGATGAGGCTGCAGTGAGCCAGGATCGTGTCCCAGCCCTCCAGCCTGGGTGACAGAGTGAAACCCTGTCTCAAAACATAAAATAATAAAGCTATGAGGGGGTCTCACTATGTTGCCCAGGCTGGACTTGAACTCCTGGCCTCAAGTGATCCTCCCACCTCAGCCTCTAGAGTAGCTGGGATTACAGGTGTGTGCCACCATGCCTGGCCTGTGGGCTTTCGTTTTTTGTTTTGTTTTGTTTTGAGACACAGTCTCACTCTGTTGCCCAGGCTGGAGTGCAGTGGTATGATCTCGGCTCACTGTAACCTCTGCCTCCTGGGTTCAAGTGATTCCCCTGCCTCAGCCTTTGGAGTAGCTGGGATTACAGGCATGCACCACCACGCACAGCTAATTTTTTTTTTTTTTTTGTATTTTAGTAGAGATGGGCCATGTTGGCCAAGCTGGTCTTGAACTCCTGACCTCAAGTGATTCACCCATCTCGGGCTCCCAAAGTGCTGGGATTACAGGCATGAGCCACCGCACCCGGCCTCCTGTGGGCTTTTCTATGCTTCTCTGCCAGATCCTCGTGTCCTCATTACAGGATAGAGCTGTGGTTTTCAACGTGTGCTCCCCAGACCAGCAGCACCAGCAGCACCTGGAATCTCCTTAGAAACTAAATTAAACCACAGGGGTAGGGCCCAGCAATCCAAGCCCTGCCAACAGCAAGTCCACCGGGTGACGCTGAGAACCACTGGTGTGGAGAAATTACCTGGTTATTTGCCATCTCTCCTATGAGACCAGTGATTCTCAAAGTCTTTCTGCCCATGAGAATCACCTGGAAGCTTTTTAAACACACAAGTGGTCAGCCTGTCCTCGGAGCGATTCTGACTGAAGTGCTCTGCAGTGGAACCCAGCACGTTTTTTTACTTTGTTTTGTAAAGTTTCCCAGAAGATGCTCATCAGTAGCCAAGTGGAGATTTACTCAAGTCATCTGTCAGCTTCTAGTGGACAAGCAATCCAGTTTTTTTTTCAAGTTTATGTCCTAAGCACCTAAGGGGCTTAGCCTAGAGGTGCTCAGAGAATATTGGATGAATCCATTAGCGAACCCATCAGTAAATAATGGATCCTGAGTTCAGATTTCTCCAAACGTAAGATCATTAACTGCACCAAACAAGTCCTCAGTGCGCGCGCGCATACACACACACACACACACACACACACACACACACACACACACACACACACACCCTGCTTACCTGTAAAATATTCTACTTCTTTCTCCAACTCTTGGAAAATCTCATCTGCCTCAGCTTTAGCAAAGAGGACCGTGTAACTGCAGTCCAGGCCCTCAGCCCGAATGTGCCGCCAGCTGGGGCCTGCTGAGTGTCCTCCCTCCCCCAGGGCCTCTCTCCTGGGCCTCTTCCTTGTGCTTTCTTTGTCTCCTCCCAACACAGCTGGCTCTTCTCCAGTCGGCTCTTGCTTCTCCCGCTTCCTCAAAAGGCCCCCTTGAACCCCTTTCACCAGGAATCTGTCCATCCTGTCCCCACAGGAAAAAAGGGACGTCAGTGGCGAGGCCAAGACAGACTGCTCAAGTTCTGTCCCCAGTGTAAAAATCTGTTTGTCCAGAGGGTCTCACAGCAACATTTCTAGTTTCACATTTTCAAGTTTAAAACCACGTCCTAAAAATGAAGCAGAAGATGTTAAAGCCGGAAGGGACCCTAGGGACAAT